GCTTTCGAATAGTTGACTATTCTTCTTTGTTCTCCTGAAGAAGAATAGTAAACTATTTGAAAGTGCTCGAGTTTTGGGTCTTATTTTAAGAAGATTTGTATTTATATTTTTATGTAGCTACAATTGATAATTAATTTTTGAGTGTTTTATAACCACTCACGAAAACTAATTGAAACTCAATTTATTCCTTTGCAGATCATTATAAATTTTCCCATATTTTTGGTACATCATTTTTTTTTATTATGTTGTAAGTGCTTGGGAGCATGCACTTATCATACAGACAAACATCTAGAATTCTTGAGTTTATTTTTATTTTTTTTCAATTGTATTTCATATTCAGTCTTCATGTAGTTTTAAAGACCAGTTGAAGAAATGATTTTCATATCAATTGAAACTTTCTTTATGGATTTTCAGGAGCTTGTTACTAATGAGAGGATTTGGAAAAAGGATGGTTCTAAAGACCACAGTTTTGAATCCAGTAACAACATCTCTGGAATACAGCTGAAGAAAGGAGATGAGTTTGGTGAATTCAATCTGGGTTCAACAATTGTTTTAATTTTTGAAGGCCCTAAGGACTTGAATTTTGCAATAAGAGCAGGACAAAAAGTCAAGTATGGTGAACCTTTAATGCTTGTAGAAGATAAAAGCTGATAATTTTGTTGTTTCAGAATCTTCCTAATTTAGAGTTGGAAGAATGTTAAACTCTTGACTCTGTAGTCTTCCGCAGAAGGAGTTCTTACAAGCCACGAACCAGTGTCGTATAAAATGGTAGGTTAAGACAAGTGGTCAAAGGAGAACTTGTTAATATGTGAAGCTTTCAGATGGAGCTTACAAGTAATTATATCTCCTGGCAATTTTCTTATGATTCCAAGTTAACTGAGGGTGACTTGCTGTGGAAAAACATGTTTTACGATTGCAGTTCGCTTTAAATCGCTCGGAAGATTTGTGATCCTGAATGGCATTTCTGTGCGTCAAACTTCAACTTTCTTGTTCTTAAAAGGATTGCATGATCTATTTAAAAAAATAATGGTAAAACTACTTTCTTGATGACACTCTACAAATAAGTGAAGAAATAAATGTGTCGCAGATAAATAAGGGGAGAATATCAAGATTATGTGCAGGAGATGATTTAAATTAATTCACTTTATAATTTGCCATTAATGGTTGTAGTGATTTCTTTAATGTTTCTAGTCAAGGTGAACAAAATATTTAATTTACTTAAGTGAGTGTTAATAGTTAGAAAAAAGACATCACCTGGTTCATGAAACTTTTATTGAGATTTAGCATACTGATATATAATGCTTTGTTCCTAATGTCGCTTAATATTTTTGTGTATATAAATTAATGGTCCCATTTCACAAATTTTCAAACTAAAGAACACAGCTGATTTAAAGCATTAGTTAAGATTAGTAGAAGAGATGTCCAGGAGGGTAATATTTGAATTTATAAAACCTACTTCATTTTGAGAAACATTAGTCACATCTTGGACAATTTTTTTTGTGTGGAATCGAAGAATAACCGAATTTTGGGATCCACTGATGCTTCATTCAAGTTATCTGATCCAGCTCAGATACTGAAGTTGTTAATTTTATATTTAGTTTTAAACCAACTGTGCTTAGCAGAAATATCTTGTATCTAAAAATCTTTATTGTTATTTTTATACAACAAAATCTGGCTACTAGTGAAATTTGCTGCTGGTTGTAAACTTATTGATAGTTTGGAAAACCAATTCTCGTCTAAGAAATCATGTTTGAGTGTTTCAGAATTGTTCTGAAAATCACAGTTTTGAGATTTTAAACATTGTTTATTTGGAAACGCATTGAAAGAAACCTAAGGTAGAGATAGTATGAGAAATTTGTTTTGTCATATTATCTACATTGATAATGTTTGAATAATAAAACTGGTTATTTAATTAAAATTTGTAATTGTGTATTTATGCTTGAGTACATAGCTAATTAATTGTGAGGGAAGTTAGATTATAATCATTAATATAAGTTTCAATCATTTGAAGAAAAGAAAGAAGGATTGGATTATTATATCGAGAGGGACAGCTGACTTCATGATTGGTGGGGGACAATGAGGGGGTTGAGAGTAAGTAGACTGATGTGGTTGATGACAGAAAATATTAAAGACATTTTGTAATTCACAAAAACCAACATTTGGTGGAGATGAGAATAGGAGACTGCCAGAATCAAGGGTAAAAAGGCAATTACTAAGAAATATAATGACGGTTTAAAACCCATGAGTATTTGATTAAATCAATTCTTAAAAAACCAACCTAATCCACTCTTCTTTACTAAAACCATTTGAAGCTGAGACATTGGCTACAGTTTCTTATTGACATGAAGTTTCAACCTGATTCGGGGCTGAGACATTGACTACAGTTTCTTACTGACATGAAGTTTCAACCTGATTTGGAGCTGAGATATTGACTCCAATTTCTTACTGACATAAAGTTTCAGCCTGATTCGGGGCTGAGACATTGACTACAGTTTCTTACTGACATGAAGTTTCAACCTGATTCGGAGCTGAGACATTGGCTACAGTTTCTTACTGACATGAAGTTTCAACCTGATTCGGAGCTGAGACATTGGCTACAGTTTCTTACTGACATGAAGTTTCAACCTGATTCGGAGCTGAGACATTGGCTACAGTTTCTTACTGACATGAAGTTTCAACCTGATTTGGAGCTGAGATATCGACTACAGTTTCTTACTGACATGAAGTTTCAACCTGATTCGGAGCTGAGACATTGGCTACAGTTTCTTATTGACATGAAGTTTCAACCTGATTCGGAGCTGAGACATTGGCTACAATTTCTTGTTGACATGAAGTTTCAGCCTGATTCAGGGCTGAAACATTGACTACAGTTTCTTACTGACATGAAGTTTCAACCTGATTTGGAGCTGAGATATCGACTACAGTTTCTTATTGACATGAAGTTTCAACCTGATTTGGAGCTGAGATATCGACTACAGTCGCTCATTCATGTGACAGTTTCAATACTTTTGTATTTTCAGGTATTATAGTATAATGCAGTTTTTATTTATAAAACCATTAGATATGGGATTGTTCATGTGTATTTATAAAGTAAGTGGTTTGTGTTTGATAAGTCGAGAAATTAGTATGAGTATGTTGTTTGTTGCAAAAAATAACTCAACTTTTGTCCTGCGTGTAAGATGCCTCAAGACAACTGGAGGGATTCTTAGACTCTGTAAAATCTTGTTAAATAATGAATCATGGTCCCTAAAATGTTAAAACTTGGACTTGTTTATGATAGTTTATTGTGGTATATTAGTGTTACTACTAATCATGAGAGACAGAATTGCCAGATGTAGTACAGTTAGTTTCTAATCATGAGAGGAAGAACTGCCAGATTTATAGTTAGTTTCTAACCATGATAGGAAGAACTGCCAGGTTTATAGTTGGTTTCTAACCATGATAGGAAGAACTGCGAGGTTTATAGTTGGTTTCTAACCATGAT